AAAGAGTGTGCGAGGAGTCGCTTTCGGGCTCGCAGCAGCTGTGCCGCACACCCAGCTGGCACAGGTGTGGCCCTGCCAGGTCTCGCAGCAGCGCACTGGCAGGTACCGTGCCGGGAAGCTCTGTGGGGAACCGGGATGCCTGGGGTGAGTCCAGGGCGGATGGCACCGGGGGCTGCAAGCTGCCCCCCACCCTGTGCCCCGCAGGATGCGAGCAGCTGGATGGGAGCAGCCCTGTGCCAGGCACCCTGCCCGCTTTACCCACAAATTGCTGCGTGCGTGGCACTGGTGACCACCAAAGAAAAAGAAAAATATGCTCTGGCACCAGGGAGGGTGTTACGTCGCACGGTTTCCCCATCCCCGGCACGGGCACTGCTTGCCATGGTGCCAGGCAGGGGCACTGCCCCGTAAGGGGTTGGCCAGGCTGGGGAATGTGGCCAGGCATCAGGCACCCTGCTCCTTCAACCCTTGGCACCGGCAGCAGGACACCAACACCGGCAGCGGGACACCTTGCCCACCCAGCAGATGCCCGCTCCCCGTGGTGCTCACCGGTGGGCTGGGAGCTCTCCGTGGAGGGCATGAAGTCCTCGTCGTAGGACTCGTCGTTGGAGTCATCCCCGTCCACCGAGGACCAGGCACGCAGTTTGGCCTCAGCGATGGCAAACTGTTCCGCCACACCTGGCATGGGACAGGCACGGGTCACGCGCACACCGGGAGGTGCCTCCAAAATCCCCCTGCCCCGGCGCCTCTGTGCCCATGGTGCCGTGGCACCAAGGCAGGGAGGGATAGATGGATGGCTGGGGACAACCCACCCCACCACCCCTGCCCTCAGCCGTGGTGGGGGAGCGTGCCCACTGGCCGTGCCCTGCGCGGTGCCCACCGGCAGCGAAGCGTGCCTCCTGCTCGCCCTCGCTCAGGTGGCAGTAGGAGCTGAAGGCGCTCTCCAGGGCGGCGGGCGGCTCCACCGGCTTGCACCAGCCCTTCCACTCGATGAGGTGGGCGACGCGGCCCTGCGCCATGGCCGTCGGCTTTGTCACGTGCTCCTTCACCACCTGCGAGATGCCTGCGAGATGTGCCCCCACGTCAGCACCCCCCATCCCCTCTACGGAGCCCATGACCCCAGGACCCAGCACGCCCCACCTGCAGCCCTTGGGACCTGGCACCCCCATGCCCTTCTTTTGGGTGCCACCAGGGACCACAGGGATACCTTGAGCCCCCCAAACCCCAGCGGGCTGGCCCCAATGTGCTACCCAAGAGGCCCAGCCTCCTCGCCCACAGGAGACCCCCCCTCTCCGCATGCCCCCTCGGGCAACCCCACGCCCCGGGCCGGGCGGGCAGTTACCGTGCAGCGAGGAGCGGGCCAGGGCGGCGATCTCCTGGATGGTCAGCGCGCGCCGTGACTTGGGCAGCATCTCGACAGTGTCCTCAACATTGACCTGCCAGAGCAGGCAGGGGCGTCATGGCCCCCGGCCACCCTGCCTGCTCCCTGCCCCTGCTCCCCTGCCGGGAGCGCTGTGCCCTGGGAAGGGGCTCAGCCCCACTCAGTGCCCACCCCGCAGGTGCCATGTGGCAAGCGTGGGGTGTCTGTGCACGCCTGTGTGTTACGTGGACGTGTGTGCAGAGGGATGGTCACAGCCACTACATGCAGGGCAGTGGGTACATGCACACCCGTGCCTGTGTGCACGCTCCCCTGCTGTTAGTACACCCGTACGCTGCTACTGCATGCACACTCACAACTGCACTCTTATACATGCGTGCACATACGTGCATGCACAAGACATGCTCAGTGCACGCACACTTGCACGTGCCCACTCACATAACCGCCTGCACACACACACACTCATGCACACGCACTGACCTTAAATACACGCATGCACTCGCTGCATGCACGTGCACCCTCACATGCCCCCTCACTGCAGCCAGGGCCATCCTCACCGTGCCCACACGTGCACTCACTGCACGCACACACGTGCTCACTGTGCACACTCCATGTGTGCATGCACTGCACACACATCTGCACTCACTGTACACACGCATCCACCTGTGCGTGTGCATGCCCTGTGCTCATTGGTGCCACTGAGTGTCCTCCCCAGCTCATGCGCGTGCACACACGCACACACATGCGTGTGCAAGGCCGCTGCAGCCGGGCTCCCCAGTGCTTGCTCGCTGGCAGCACCCGCTGTGCTGGGGCACCCCGCCACATGTCCCCATTGCCCGTCCCGGCCACGCCAGGCCCCGAGCCCATGGCCACGGGGGAAGCGATGCGGGATTTGGAGGCGCGCAACAAATTGCATTGCCATGGCAACGAGGCACCGTGGACTGATTTCTCCCAGGATACAGCCCGGCTTGCGGCTGACGTCAGAGCAGCCCCGGAGCCGGCTGCGAGCTGGCAGGGCCAGGCGGGCAGCGGGGCGGCGGGCAGCGGAGCCCATCGTGCCGCCGGCCATGGCCAGGCCGCGTGCCCTGCTGTGGGGTACTGGCACACGGACACCCCGGCTGGGCACGGCTGTGCTCGGCGGTACCTGGAGGAAGTCCTGGCTGTCGAAGGAGGCCTGGCGCACCAGGCGGGGCAGCGGGCGGGTGGCACTCAGCGGCGACAGTGCTTTCACCTCCTTCCACTCCACGCACAGCGTTGTGTCCACGGCCACTGTGGGAAGAGCTAGGGAGGCATCAGCACCTCTGTCCCCCCGGCAGCCCCCCCAGCCCCCCCCCCCGGGGGCCCTGCCTCTCGCCTGGTCTGAGACCAGACACAACTCATTGCAGGGCCACTCCGGAGCAGCTGGGTGCTGCGGCACGGGTGACTCACGCCCGGGCAACCCTTCCGCCTGTGTCAGCGGTAACGCACGGCCCCAGCCTGGCACCGGGGACCGGGCGCCCATCCTGGCTTGGCGGCTGTTTCAGGAGGGGTAGGGGCAGCTGGACCAGGCAGGGGGGAACGGACCGGACCAGGTGCTGGGTGCACAGAAGGAGGTGGTGCTGGGCTGTGCTGCTGGGGGCTCTACCATCTCCAACACCCCCTTCCCAGTTCCCCATCTCTGGGGCAGAGGGAAAGGAGCAAAAAGCAGGGGGGGGGAGATAAAAGCACCCACAGGCGTCCTCCACTCCAACAGCCCGACCTCCTGGCACCGGCACCCCAAAGGGATGGCTCCCCGCCCCCAGGCACTGACTCCCAAGCACTGGGGCCAGGGAGGGTCCCCTGTCACTGCGGCCCCCAGGCCCGGCCAGCCCCCAAGGGGCCGGGGCAGGCTGTCCCTGAGGAACCTTGTTGCCCCTGCACCAACGTGGGCCTGGCTGACGTAAACCAGCCGTGAGGTGGGATATGGAGGAGGGCGAACGGTGCTCCCCTATCTGGGGTGAAGCTGCTGACAGCATTGTCCCCCCCTCCAGCTGTGGGCAGGGGCACCCCGCGGTGATGCCCCAGCGTCGACACCCCGCCCCCCCCCTAGCAACAGCACCCCCAGGGCACCCCCGGCGTGTCTGCAACACCCCCAGCACCGTCCCG